AAGCCTGCAGGCACAACATGAGCACAACAGCAATGTGGCCCCCTGCAGTTCCCAGAAAGTGGTGTTCAAAGGTCTGCTTCCTAGGAAAGTAAAGTGAGAACATAGCCAGAATGGCTAGTAGCCATCGATTGGCCCTCTCCTCCTCCGTGAGTTTGTCTAATCCCCTTTTAAAGCCATCCAGGTTGGTGACTTCACTGCTTCTTGTGGGAGTGAGTTCCATAGTTTAACTATGCAATGGTTATCTACAATAACAATCCCCCCTTTGTGTAATGTGTACAATATCGTTTGTTTGTTTGTTTGTTTGTTTGTTTGTTTGTTTGTTTTGCTTTGATCTACTAGGATACTATTTATTTATTTTTTATTTTTTGTGTGTCTTATCTTACTTACTCTGTGCACTTCTAATTTTGTACTTTTTATTCTTCAGTAAGGGACGCAGGTGGCGCTGTGGGTTAAACCACAAAGCCTTGGACTTGCTGATCAGAAGGTCGGCGGTTTGAATCCCCACGATGGGGTGAGCTCCCGTTGCTCGATCCCTGCTCCTGCCAACCTAGCAGTTCAAAAGCACGGCAGTGCAAGTAGATAAATAGGTACCGCAAGCAGATAAATGGATCCCTGACCGTTAGGTCCAGTCATGGACAACTCTGGGGTTGCGGCGCTCATCTCGCTTTACTGGCCGAGGGAGCCGACGGACAGCTTCCAGGTCATGTGGCCAGCATGACTAAGCCACTTCTGGAGAACCAGAGCAGCATACAGAAACACTGTTAACCTTCCCGCCGGAGCGGTACCTATTTATCTACTTGCACTTTGACATGCTTTTGAACTGCTAGGTTGGCAGGAGCTGGGACCGAACAATGGGAGCTCACACCATTGCAGGGATTCGAACTGCCAACCTTCTGATCGGCAAGCCCTAGGCTCCGTGGTTTAGACCACAGTGCTACCCGCGTCCCAATAAAGTTTATTAATTGAATTTTATTCTTAGGTAGATTTACCAAAAGAAATACAGTGGTACCTCAGGTTAAGAACTTAATTCGTTCCGGCGGTCCGTTCTTAACCTGAAACTGTTCTTCACTTGAAGCACCACTTTAGCTAATGGGGCCTCCTGCTGCCACTGCGCCACCGCTGCACGATTTCTGTTCTCATCCTGAAGCAAAGTTCTTAACCCGAGGTACTATTTCTGGGTTAGCAGAGTCTGTAACCTGAAGCGTCTGTAACCTGAAGCCTCTGTAACCTGCGGTACCACTGTACACACACCAATAAATCACTTTTAGAAAGGGGCAAGATTAGATACGGATGCACAAAGCATTTTTATAACAATATCAAGACTTCTTGCAGTCTGCTCAGCTCCCCTTTCTTCCCACCCAGAGCAACCCTGCCCCCTGCCCATGGGAGCCAACTCCAGGGGCCCATGGGTGCTTGGGCACCCACAATAATATAATTGTGGGGTCAGGGCACCCACAGTTCAGCTCTGCTTTCCACAGGCAGCCAGTAAAGCACCCTTTTCTGGGGGAGTGGGGCTCAACCAGGAGGGAGGGAACATGCCAGTCAGGCATGTGTCTCTGCCAGGGTCCTACTCGAGTGTAGGCTGAACTCCTAACATTCTGAAATACTTCACGGAACACAGTAACACAAACATCCTGTCTCCGTCACTTCCCACTCTGTGGAGTGAAAACATACATTGTCATGTGATAGACAAAAATCCCATGACTGCAATCATGGAGCAGGAATTCTAACAGAGTCCCCCACAGAAAAGGCTACAGAAAGCAGGAAGAAGAAGAGATGCAGCCACTGCAACGTGGATGTACGACATCACATGCACATGCCTCAGATAGTGCGTGAGACAAGGAAAATGAGTTGATTTTTTTTATTGTGCTACGGCACCATGAAGTCATATGTCTGCTCTTTAAGTACTATGTGTAAACTCAGTGTTTTTTCCAGCACTCAAGATCCTTATTTTAAAATAGGAAAGGCAATAGTTAACTGATTAATACAAAAATACACACTAATAATGTTTATATCAAAGGGTTTTTACAGAAAACTTGAAATACATTGATTATAAAGAGAGGCTTAACAAGAGCATTAATCAATTTTAGCTATAAACAAAGTGCCTTTTTATAAAGGGAAACTAAATAGGAAATGTCTTTTGTATAAGAATTTCTTTGTTCTGATAAATTTATTATGCATTTCAGTATTTCAGTTATTTTTTGTTTTTGTTTTTGCAATGAAGACTTCTATGATGATGTCTTGGTTTTGTTTCCTTTGGCTAGAAAAACATTAATGTTTGGCATGCAGTTTTTATCGTATATGCTCTTTTGCTACTTACTTTTTCCAATAAATGTTACTTTGTAAGTGCAGGATGGGATCCTAGACTTTTGTTACAACCGAGTTGCATATTTGCATAATTTAATGGCATACTGATAATTTGTTCCGACTGAATAAACAATTTGTGAAGTTGCATTTAAAAAAACAACATGGTGTGTGCAACGTCACACACGCTACGTGCAGCCGTGTGCGTGTGATGCCACCCATGTGAGTTGCGGTGGCAGACAACCACAATCCGGAGGGCAAGATGGCGCCCCTGCCTGCCCCTTGGAGCCAGCACATCATGCAAGGCTGGGCCTTGGCAGCAGCAACCTCTCCTCCTCTTTGCCCGTTCTCCAGCAGTTGCTACAAGCTTCCCCAAGAAGGAAGCTGGCAGTGGCAGTCCGTGGAGAGCAACGGAATCTTCCCTCATTGCTGCCACTGCTGCTGCCACTGCCGCACTCGGAACAAGCGCCAGCTCATCGTCCTCCCTGAGCCTGGTGGTGCCAGCACTGGTGGGGGAAAGAGGGACATTCTGAGATCAAATCAGAAGGCTTTTGCTATTCCGGGTCTGTCCCTGGAAAATTGGGACACTAGGAGGGTATTAAGTTCTGGTGTTCTGAGAGAGGGAGAAAAAAAGTTAAGGAACTTGCTAGCACAAGTTAGAAAGGATATTGATAAACAATATACCCTCTCCTGCCTCCCTGAACATTCCCACAGATACTAGATAGGCCACTGGCCTGATCCAGAGGGTTCTTTTTATGTTCTTCAGACCTTACAAACCAAGAAGATAAGCCTTTCTTGGTCTTTCTCTTTTTGATATGTTAAGAAAGAGATAAAAGTACAATAGGAAAACTTAAGTAAGTTAAAAGTGATGTTGTGTAATTTTTCTATTACTATTTATGTATTGTTAAAATTGGTTAATTGTAATGAACTGATGTAGCAACTACTGTGGTTTTTTTCCTTTGTTATTGTTGAATTCTAAATAAAGTATTATTCAAAAGAAAAAGGGGAAAAAAGCCAAGAAGGAGAAGGAGGAGGAGGAGGAGAAGCAGAAGCAGAAGCAGAAGAAGCAGAAGAAGCAGAAGCAGAAGAAGAAGAAGAAGAAGAAGAAGAAGAAGAAGAAGAAGAAGAAGAAGAAGAATCTAAGTTGCTGTCCATTATAAGCATGTATTTTATAAAGGGAGCAACTTTTCTTGCTTTTAATTAGGGAAAAATTATTTGATGGTGAAGACATGAAGCTGCCTCTTAATGGATCAGCCCATTGCTGCATCTTTCCAGCTCTAGTTGGCTGTAGCTTTGTACGAGCCAAGGGAGACAAGGGTCTTTTCCATTCCTTGTCACTTGAGAACCAAGTTTTTGTGAATGCGTTGAAGGGAGATACTTGGGACTTTCTGCAATGCGAGCAGCTGCTCTGGCTACCATACAACTTGGGGCCAGTCCAGAACGCAACATGCGGGAATGATATTTTTAACACAGTACTGGACATTGGGTTACATCCTCTACTGATATATATGATTGTCATTAACTACTAGAATCATTTGCATGAGAGATGATTGTTGTTTTTTCAAGCGCTGGAGACTTTACTTCAGTATTTGATATGATTCAGGGAAATCTATCATTCGCAGAGGAGCTGCAAAATATTATTCAAGAGTTTATGTTAGCCATGAGTTTAGTTCCACTTCTCCTTGACATCGCTCGGGAACCTTTTAGAAAAACCCATTCGTCCACTGATTTCACGATACAGCTCAGCTTCAGCCCCACTCCTCCCAAAGCAAGGGAGGCAGCAGTTAATATTTATTAACAGCAGTTAATAAAAAGAAAGCCTTAATGATACTCCACATCTCCTCCAATGCACTCAATCCTTGTGAACTAGCAACATGTTTTAAACTGACAAAACAAGAGAACGTGGAATTTCCCAACTGTTTTGGCGGTGCAGGCCGGGACTGGTGAGAACTGTTTTCCCAACATTTGCAGAATATGTTTGGCGAATGCTGGAACAGATGGGCCATTGGCCTGAGGCAGCAGGCTTTTCTTATGAAAGATATTCAGAGCAACATATTTAATTACCAAACCACACCTTAGCAGATAATGTAAACAGCCTTCCCCAACCCACCAAGCCTGGTCAACTTGGCCAAATGTGGCTAACAATTATGGGATGCATAGTCCAAAACATCTGGAAGGCACTGAGTTATGGAAGGCTGAGCTAGAAAGGTTTCATCATATCATCTCTTTTTTAACAGTTACTGATAGCTCACTTTTCTGCTTCTCACCAGGACAAATTTTAATATCTTCAGGCAAGAGCCAATATACTTTAAAAAGTTTGTGTGGTCAGTTTATTTCACTGCCAAAATGTCTTATCTGTGAAAATGGTACGTGTCTAACCATTCTGGAAATTCCTTCTTATTTTTCTTTTTGCAGACAAACATCTTAAGCGTGAGGGCCAACATCAGTTAGTGTGCTGGGTTCAAGGATGTCCTTGGCCTGTAAAAGACCTCCTGTCATCTCCACTTAAAAAAATATTAAACTGAAGAGCCTGCACTGGACTCAATCCTCCTAAACCAGAGAAACTCAAGATGACCATAGTCAAGGATGGTTTTAGAGGTAACCATCATGACATCACTTTTTCACCTGAACTCTACAGAAGGACAAAAAGAAAATTTATAACCATGACACTTTGAAGCATAAACTTTATTGCAAGAAGGGATTTAAAAGGGCACATCAGAGTGACTTGCAATGTGGGGTGGGGGGTGGGGGTCAGTGTGTCATGAAGAAATAGTCAGAAATCACAAACGCCAAGGAAATTGTGTACAATTGAAACTGAATGTTTTATTAAAACAACTTCAAAATCAAAGTGAGGTGTATTTTTTTTTTTTCCTTTTCATATTACCTTAACAATGAATTTTATACAATACAGTCTTCAGCTCCTGGCATGAAGGGACTGGGAAAGACAGGAGAGGCTGGAGGTGGAGACAGAGGGAAAGGAAAGGGTTTCTTGAGCTAACAGGATGTGAAGGTCTTCCAGAAGAAGTTCTTGCAACCGGCTTTGCGCTCTCTGGGTCCCAGAGCTGGGTTCAAGTTGGCCGATCTCTCCAGCTCCAGCCTCACCTCATCCTGCTCGCCACCACGAGACAAATCGTCTGATTCCAGGGCCTCGTTGTCCGTCTGGCTTGGTTCTGAGAGCAATTCTGCCAGGAAATACTTGGCCAATTCCTTTGAGGAAGAGAGGGGGGGGAGAGGGAGAGAGAGAGGGACTGAGCTCAGCATATATCTTGCTATATAGCATGATTCCTTGCATCTCAGGGCCACCAGTAGGTGCAAATGTCTGGCTCATACCAGATTTCACAGAACCTCTATTCTCAATAACGATGGGACTCAGAGGTAGAGAATACCTTGGTTTTGTTTGTTTGTTATTGGTAAAGGGAATCTTCGCATGAGTCAAAACTTGATTACTCCTTTGCAGCTGGCACCATTACAGGTGCCACATAGTATTCATTCCGCATTTGTGAGAAATCAGCACCTACACTTTGGAACTCCCTGCCTATTGACAGGCACCTGCACTGTACTCTTTTAACCACCTGCAAAAACTGGACAAACCTACCCAGATATTTAGACAGCTGATGCATGTGTGAGTCTGTTTTTAGTTCATTTCATTGCCAGTTTTACCTTTTGAATATCTTAAAGAGTTGTTTTAACTGATTTGACTGATAATTTTTTTGCTGTATTCTCTTTGTAAACTGCTTTGAGGTTTTCTTTTACAATCAATTTTATAAAATAAATGAATTCACTATATCTTTGTCCTTTTGTCCTCCCAGGCTGAGATGCTTTATGGTTTACACTTTCGTTTGTTGTTGTTGTTGTTGTTGTTGTTGTTGTTGTTTTCTCTCTTTTTGTTATGTTTGTGCTTTTTCACAAAAAAACCCAGTTAACCAATATTGCATATCAGACAAGAGAGAGGCTCATGTCAATAGTTTTTTTGATGATGACCACATGAGCCACTGGGGCAGAAATTGGTTCTGTATCCCTGGACAATGCCTTCTATTTACATTCATTTCATCTCGGACAAAGGCACAGCTTGAAGAGGACCTAGAATGGCAGTGGGGAATTTTCACAGCCCGAGGGTCACATGACCTCATGGGAAATGTTCTGGTGGTAACATGCCGGTAGTGGGTGGAGCCAAAGACAACAGAGGGCAGAGCAACAGGTGTGAATCTTACATTCGCATGGTAGGCTACACCCCTATCCACACACCTCCATTTAGGCAGGCAAGTTCAAGGAGACATTCTAGTCAGGCAAAAGTGGTCAAGGAAGGCACAAAGCAGAGCTGGGGAGGGGTGTGGTCTGGGAAGAGGGGGGGGTGGCCTGGGCTGGATGGATGGAGGGGCCTGGCGGGCCATGTTTGGTCTGTGGTCCAGAGATTCCCCACTCCATCCTTGGAAAGGCCCCTGGAGAGCCATTGCCATCTCCTGAGCTGGATGGACCACTGATCTGACTCGTTATAACACAGTTTCTCATGTTCCTAATTGGGAAGGATCATACCTCCGTGAGAAAGCATCTGTTTGAGATGATGGAATTTATGGAGTTGGCTGATCTCACTGGGAGAATCCACAACCAGAAAGAAGAGGACTACCAAGAAGATTGGAATAAATTTAAAGACTATTTGAATAAATATTCTAATATTAAAGATATGTAACCACTTGAAAGAACCAATCAGTCTTAGGATTAAATTAGACTTAAATGTATAAATAAGAAAATGTACTATAAGAAAGGTAAAGAAACTGGAATATGACTGTAATATTGTTTTATGAAATAATGATATTGGAAACTGCTACATTCAAATTAAGAGGAAATTCAGATGGAGGAGATTAGAGGAAGTCAACTAAAATGTTTATGAAAATGGATTTTAATTAATTGGTTGAGTTTCTTTTTTTTCTGTTTAGGCATGTTAAGTTTGTTATTCTTTTTTCTTATTTTTCACTTTTTATTATGTTGTTGTTGTGTTGTTGCATATTCTCTTTTTTGTTATGTCTATTGAAAACTAATAAATATTATGGTTAAAAAAGAGAGAGAGAGAGAAAGCATCTGTTTGGCATGAAGAGGACCCTGGGTTCAAACTTCTCTAGATAGGGCTGGGAGAGAACCCACCTACACCCTGGGGAGCAACTGCCAGTCAGTGTCAACCATGTTGAGCAAGATGGATCAGTGGTCCGAATTCAGTATTAGATTAGATCATATAAGACGGATCCAGAAGCGGTTGCTGAAGAAAATAGCTAAAGCCGTCCCCATGTACAGACACATTTTGCCTCTCAGTACCAGAGGTGAGGTTTTCTTTGAGGGCAGGGACAAACAACAGCTGGAAATAGTAAGTAATTTTCTTCTCAGTTTTCCAGGAGCTCCTGGCTGGCAATTGCAGGCAAATGCTGGACTAGGTGAACTTTCGTCAGATCCACCAAGGCAGATATGAAGATCTCACCTCATACCCTCTCCTATCCCCCCCCCAATTATTTGCAGATGGAGCTGTGATCTGTACAATAATTGATCCAAGGAAAAGAGGTTGGTTTGGATCTTCCACATGATCATCACCCACAGTAGGACTGGCCCTGAACAGGAGGCCCATCGTCTAGAGAGGTTCACCATGTAGTGGATTTTGAGGCCATCACATTTTCTGAAAGGAAAATGTTCAAGGCTTGTGGGTGGAGGGCAGTGCCAGCACCTGTCATTCCTCGGTCCCTTTGGCACCCACTGCCAAATGGAAGGACCCTAGCTCAATGGTACAGCACCGAGGTTTGATCCCCGTTGTCTCCACTTAAGGCTGGAAGAAACTCCCCACCTGAAACATGCCTCAGAACCATTGCCACTTAGTGTAGACAACACTGGGCTAGAGGGACCAAATGGTCTGGCTTCCTATGGATGCAGCTATTGCAGAAGGCAGCATCTAACAAAAGCGGAAGGAAGCAGGAATCTGGATCCACTCAGAAGGGTGGGTCACAGCATGTATGAACCAGCTCTTTAAGCTGGTGGAGATTTTCAGCGGAAAAGACAGATAAAATTTAAAAGATTCTTCAGCTATTGGACCAGCACCTTTAAAAAGAGTTACAGTGGTACCTCAGGTTACAGACACTTCAGGTTACAGATGCTTCAGGATACAGACTCCGCTAATAGTACCTCGGGTTAAGAACTTTGCTTCAGGATGAGAACAGAAATCGCAAAATGGCGGTGCGGCAGCAGTGGGAGGCCCCATTAGCTGAAGTGGTGCTTCAGGTTAAGAACAGTTTCAGGTTAAGAACGGACCTCCAGAACGAATTAAGTTCTTAACCCGAGGTACCACTATATTTGCACCTCACTATTGCATTGAGCCATTTTGTGCAGCTCAAACATTTGCTTGGCTCAGTGGTGGAGAGCATGCTTTGCCGGCAAAAGGTCCCAGATTCAAACCCAAACATTTCCAGGTAGCTGGGGAAGACTCCCTGTCTGAAACCCTGGAAAGGTTCTGCCAATCACTGTGGATAATACTGAGCAAGATGGACCAACAGTCAGTGTGAGGCAGATTTCTTTGTTCCTATGCTCGCCAACATAGTTGGCCCCTGAAACTCTGTGCTCTTACATGGCATTGAAGCCAACTTCCTTTCCCCTCTGCAACATCCCTCTGGTCACTTTCTTAAGCCTGCAATGTAAACACACTCGCTAGGATGCAAGGCTTCCTTCTGAGTAGCCTTGGTCAGGCTGAGCTGTTGGAGTGATGTTCGTTTCAGCACCACGGAAAGCTCCGCACCAAACAACTCTGTTAGCCCTGGCCAGTTCCCTATTACATAAAAGGACTGGATGAAAACATAAAAATGCTTTCTGCTGTTAGGAAATTCCGGGGAAGCTTTTCTCTAGTATTGCATGTGTTTAGTTGTGCTTTTGAAACTGATGACAACAATGTGGGGTGGGGAAATTGCAGCGCAGATGCAGATGCATATGCTCTACCACTGACCTCTTCCTCTGAAAAATAAAGCAGATTCCAGTTCTCATGGTCCCGAATTAAGGTCTGGTTTAAAAGGAACATAGGAACCTGCCTCATACTGGGTCAGAACCTGCTGAGCCAACTAGCCCACTGTTGTCTACCCTGACCAGTGGCTCTCTGTGGTTTCCAGCAGGAGTCTCTCCCAGCTGGAGAGGTTGACAGTGGGAATTGAGTTTGGGACGTTCTGCACGCAAAGCAGATGTTCTGTCACTGAGCTTTGGCCAAGGATTAAACCTTGGAGCATGGCGTGCTTGGACTCTGAGCTACAGGCTTCCCCCTGATCAGAGTTTAGTCTAAGACACACCCAAAGTGTCGAGGAAGTCCTAGGACCTTTGGAATTTGCGTCTCTCAGTCATGTCTCCCAGATGTCTATATCAGCGAGCGGGATTAATTTCGGTTGTGGTGTGGTTGCATCCGAGGCTGGCTTTATGACTGATTTTTTTTTAAGTTCACGCTGCTCGTTTAGTGCCTTTGTCTACTTGCAGGTTTCTTTTGCTACAGCACAAGCTTACGCATATAATCACAGAACTGTAGAATTGGAAGATCTGGGTCATCTAGTACAATGCGGGTCATCTAGCCCCGCACTGAGTGCAAATTGATTTACCCCCAGTAAGTGCATGTAAGGGCGCTTCCAACCCGTTTTTTGCTGAGAGGTCAGTGCTACCTGTGACACTTAACTCAGCAGTTCCGTGGTGCAGTGGGCTTCATCAAAATGCCAACCTGTATCCCCACCCAGTTAATCCGGATTTACCATTTCTAGGGGAAAACTTATTAAATGAATAAAATAAAATAACCTCTTGCCAAACACCCATTTGGGATATCTTCTGCTGTTCGTATTAACTCTTTATAGAACTGAGGAGTGGAACCTCTATGGACAGCGGCAGTCTACCTCTGCATTAAGGGGAAGCAGGTCTGGGGTCTGATCCAGCAGCTGCTACTGCTTAGAAGTAGTGATAAGGAAAAGGGATTCTGCACCTGCTCAGAGACGCTCCGGTTTCCTTCTAGCTCTGCTCCCCACGCCCCTCTCTCCCTCCACCCTCCCTCGGACTCCTGGGTCCCTTACCTGTTTCCCCGCCGCTGCGGCCAGCGACTTCTGCAGGAATTGCCGGAGCCTCGGGTCCGAGGGGGCGGCGGCCACGGTACTCAGCGCCAGGGCGACCGAGACGAGCAGGGCGAGGGCGCACTGGAGGCGGCAGGTCAGCATGCTGGCGGAGTCTGAGAGAGCAGCTCTTTCCCGGGGAAAGCGAGCGGAGAAAGGAGGCGAAGAGCGCAGGAGAGCCCGACGGGACGGGGCGAGACGGTGGAGTGGCGCTGCTACTGCTGCTGCGACGTCTCCGCTCCTTGGGATCGCTGCTAAGCTCACGGGGGGAGATCGTGGCTTCTGGGATCTCTACCGACGCCCCCCTTTTATAATGCCTTTTGCTGACGTCAAGGAAGGGGTGTAACAACTCCCCCTCCCCGCAAAAAGGAGCCCGGCGCTTTTTGACGCCCCATTAAGCGCGCGGATCTGGTACCCCCCAAGTGAGGGGGCTGACACGTGTCTGCAGAGGGAGGGATAAAAGAAGAGGAGGAGGAGGAGGCATGGCGACGCTTGCTCCCACAGGACACGCAACGCGCACACACACACGCAACCCCAAATCTCTTCGCTGGCCGCAAAGCTGCCCTGTTAATGGAGAATCGGTACGCAAAGTTCCCACAGGCGCGCTCGCAAGTCCGAACGCACAGGGGAAATCTTTGGCCTGGAGGAGTGGGCGTCGGGTGGAGGGGAGGGTGCGCAGGGGGACGTTTTCGAATCCCTCATTCCCTCCCCATGGAGGAATTGGTACTCTCCCGGAGCAGCTGCAAAGGGCAGGAGCTTGCTCCTTCCAGAGAGGGTGGATATGACAGACGTGGAGCCAGGAAACTGACGAGAGACCCGCTTATGAAAACCTCCAGGCGCGCTGCTTCGTTTTTCAGGCAGCCGAATGGAAGTCTGATCGGATTCATTCGGATCCGCTTCTCCGAATTTGCTCAGGACTGAAGCCTTGAGGCGTCTAGGTGAGATTTGGGGGCCAATCCGGAGGGAAGTTCTGCTGCGCACGATCCACTGAAACGAAGGTGGAGCCGCAGAATTTACCGCCGGATTGGGCCCTTCGTTTCAATCTCCTCCGGATAGATCCAATTTCCCTTGTAACCTCGGGCACAATCGGCTTCTCTTCTAACCCCGTGGGTACACGAGCCCTCTCGGGATTACTCCGAATTAACGCCTGTGGCCTGAATGTGTGCCTGGCCGCCTCCTTGCAATCATAGCCATAAGAGCGTAAGAAGAACTTGCTGGATCAGGCCAGGGACCCATCTAGTCCAGCATCCTGTTCCTTTCCCAGTTCTACAAGATCCTTTTTGAGGCCAGGTGACCAGAACTGTATATGGTGTTCCAGTTGTGGTGACTGCAGCAGAGATCTTGCAGATTTCCTTCCCTCAAGCCACATTCTCTGCCACTGAGCCACAGCTCTTCACTTTGAAATAAAACAAGTTTCCAGACCTCATGATTCTGAACCATGGGCTGATTTAATAGGAACTTGGGAAGCTGCCTCATCAGACCATGGGTCCCATCTAGCGTGGTGCTGTCTACACTGACTGGCAACAGCTCCCAAGAATTATTAGACAAATTCTCACCCATTGGGAACCTGGAGAGGGCAGGGATTGAACCTAAGATCTTCTGCCACTGAGCTATGACCCTTCTCCTGGGGAATGGGGAGCACTTGGCATGAAATGAACTGTCCTAGACCCAGGAGCCAAAGTCTACTATTCTTTCCTGGAAGACTTTGACATATTACGGTGATGTTTGGTTCACAAGCACTAATGTGATTTCCCCTGAAACTGCATGGAGGGCAGACCACATAGCTCAGCTGAAGGTCTTCCTTGCTGCCAAACCCTACTACTGTTCTTCAGAATCAGTAGAAATCCTTAACATGAGAATTTAATGAAATCTTTAGCCTCCTTCCAGCATCTGTGTGTGCGTCCTTGACATTGCGGGATGAGGAATGAGACACGCAAAACTCTCTCTAGCTCTAATGTTGTGGTAGCAAGTTGAAAGAACAAGGTGTGGTGTCCGGTCTGTGACTGTGTGGAAATTGCGAACTTTTGTGCACAACCACAAAAAAACAGCTGCCACTGAGGAGGTGTTGCTGCCAAAGGGTTTCTCTGTGACTGCTTATGAGCTATTTAATGTAGCCATTCATTTATACTTAGGCTCTTTAAATGCTTTTAAGTCACTTTGAGACCTTTTTTTTTTGGTCTCTTGTCCATAGCTGTCAACTTACAGATTTGAAAATAAGGGACCAGCAGCCTTGAAAATAAGGGACCTGCAGCCTCACCTGTTCCAGGCACTCCAGTCTTCCTGTCCTCCTGCAGTCTGGTCAAACTCATGCTGGGTAGCTTCAAGAACACTGTCCAACCAACTTTGTAACCAGAGGTTCAACTGAATAGAATCTGAATCACATGAACCACAAGGCCTATGCAGCCTCAACTTAAGATGGCTCCCCGGCCTGGCTTTGCACTGCAAAGTTTGCAGCAGCACGTGCAACAAAATGGCATCCAGCATTCAAAACCCTCTCAGCTTGCATTAACTAGCCACACACAAGGCATGCAAGCTCCACCCCCAGTCGTTCTTAGACTTCTTATTGGGTGAGCAACACAGCCAAGCAACACAGTTGGAGCCTCCCTCCTCTCTGGCCAGCAGGGAGGGAGGGAGAGGAGCTGCTTCCTTTGAAATTTAAGGGACATCATTTAAGGGACATTTAAGGGGCATCCATCAATAAGGGACAGCGGCGGGACATGGCGTTGGAATAAGGGACTGTCCCTTCAAATAAGGGACACTTGACAGCTATGCTCTTGTCATGAATAGTTAAACTTTGGAACTTGCAGGAGGCAGTGAGGGCCAGCAACCTAGAAGAATTTAAAAGAGGATTAGACAAATTCATGGAGGAGGAGAACACTATCAATGGCGACTAGTCAGGATGTCTATACTCTGCCTCTGAATACCAGTTGCTGGAAATCACAGGAGGAGAGAGGTCTCTTATGCTCAGGTCCTGCTTGTGAGTTTCCCATCAGAGCATCTGTTTGGCCACTGTGAGAACAGGATACTGTGGGATGTGATACATAAGTAGCAGTCAAGTACAACATTCCTTGTTTTCCTAGAGTGGACATGCGGGGGAATCTTTGGTCCAGCCAGTCGAAAACTTCCTGTTTCCTCCTGGGCTGGAGCATCCTTCCTTTGCATGTGACTAGAGGTGGGCATGACCTTACCTTCCTAGGTCACACAAAAGGACAAGGCACGCTGCACACTTCCTCTCTTTGTCTTACTTCGTCATTGGAGCAGCTCTTTAGCAAGAGATGCTCTGTTGTCTTCCAGGCAACAGAGGACACTGGGATTATCCCCATATGGGATAGATCCACATGTATATACTTTGTAACTAAGTCTGCCATCAGGGATCCAACTGTGAACTGAAGGTGTGAGTAAAAGTCTTTTATATACTATCCCCAATATTGTTGTGTGTTTATTCTTCTAAGAGGGATAAAAAGGAACTTACCAGGAATATAAAATTCAATACTGAATTGTATATAATAGTGAGAGGCTTACACAAGCCTGCAACCAGCTATATGCTGTGCATTTAAAAGGGGAATATGAAACTCTGCTAAGTTAAGGAACTTGCTAGCGCAAGTTAGGAAGGATATTGATAAACAATATATCCTCTCCTGCCTCCCTGAACATTCCCACAGATACTGGAGAGGCCATTGCCTTATCCAGCAGGATCTTTTTATGTTCTTAAGACCTTATAAGCCAAGGAGGAGAAGGAGAAGGAGAAGAAAAAGAAGACTCTTTTGCTGTCCATTATAAGCATGTCCTTTATAAACGAAGCATCTTTTCTTGCTTTTAATTAGGGAAAAATTATTTGATGGTGAAGACATGAGGCTGCCTCTTAATGGATCAGCCCATTGCTGCAGATTTCCAGCTCTAGTTGGCAGAAGCTTTGTACGATCCAAGGGAGACAAGGGTCTTTTCCATTCCTTGTCACTTGAGAGCCAAGTTTTTGTGAATGTGTTGAAGGGAGATACTTGGGACTTTCTGCAATGCAAGCAGCTGCTCTGGCTACCAGGCAACTCTGGGCCAGTCCAGAACACAACATGCGGGAATGATATTTTCAACACAGTACAGTGGTACATCGGGTTACATACGCTTCAGGTTACATAGGCTTCAGGTTACAGACTCTGCTAACCCAGAAATAGTACCTCGGGTTAAGAACTTTGCTTCAGGATGAGAACAGAAATCGTGCAGCAGCGGGAGACCCCCATTAGCTAAAGTGGTGCTTCAGGTTAAGAACAGTTTCAGGTAAGAACGAACCTCCAGAATAAATTAAGTTCTTAACCCGAGGTACCACTGTACTGGACATTGGGTTACATCCTCTGCTGGTATATATGATTGTCATTAACTACTAGGATAATTTGCATGAGAGATGATTGATTATTGCAGAATGTGTTTGGCAAATGCTGGAACAGATGGGCTATTGGCCTGATTCAACAAGTTTTCTTATGAAAGATATTCAGTGCAACGTATTTAATTACCAAACCACACCTAAGCAGATAATGTAAACAGTCTTCCCCAACCCAGATCTCCTGGACTAGGACTCCCATCTGTGGGATGTGAAACACAGAGCCGTCAAGTACAACATTCCTAGAGTGGACATAAAAGGGAATGTCTGGACCAGCCAGTCAGAACTTCCTGTTTCCTCCTGGACTGGGACAGACGTCCTCTGCATGTGACCAGAGGTGGGTGTGGCCTCACCTGTGTAGGTAACAAAATACCTCAGTGGAGGCAGCCATCTCTCTCGGACTCCATTCCTTGAAGAAGCAACATCTGCTTAGTCTGAGATGCTCTCTTGGCTTGCAGCTTGCAGCCAAGAGAGGACAAAGGAACTATCTCTTTATGGGATAGATTCCAGGTGTATATATTTTGTAACTTAAGTCTGCCTTCTGGGATCCATTTGTGAACAGAATGTGAGTAAACTCTTTTATATACTTTTCTACAAGACTGTGTCATGTCTATTCTTTTTATGAGAGACTAAAGGTGAAATTACCAGGAAACTTATTTTAGAGGCTTATACAAGCCTGGCAAACCTATCCGCTGTGCAAGTTTAAAAGGGGGGGTGTTACTCTGCTAAATTGTAGAACTTGTTAACACAAGTTGGAAAGGATATAATTAAACAATATATCCTCTCCTGCCTCCCTGAACATTCCCACACCATTAAGCCTGGTCAACGCGGCCAAATGTGGCTAACAATTATGGGATGCATAGTCCAAAACATCTGGAAGGCACTGAGTTGTGGAAGGCTGAGCTAGAAAGGTTTCATCACATCATCTCTTTTTTAACAGCTACTGATAGCTGACTTTTCTGCTTCTCACCAGGGCAAATTTTAATATCTTAAGGTAAGAGCCAATATACTTTAAAACATTTGTGTAGTCAGTTTATTTCACTTCCAAAATGTCTTATCTGTGAAAAAGGTATGTGTCTAACCATTCTGAAAATTCCATCTAATTTTTTTAATTTATTTTTTGCAGACACACGTCTTAAGCACACTGTTTCCTGCTTGGCAGGGGGTTGGACTCGATGGCCCTTGTGGTCTCTTCCAACTCTATGATTCTAAGCATGAGTGCTGGGTTCAAGGATGTCCTTGGCCTGTGAAAGACCTCCTGACATCTCCACTTAAATATTAAACTGAAGAGCCTGCACTGGACTCAATCCTCCTAAACCAGAAAAACTCGAGATGACCATAGTCAAGGATGGTTTTAGAGGTCTCCATCATGACATCGCTGTTTCACCTGAACTCTACAGAAGGACAGAAAGAAAATTTATAACCATGACACTTTGAAGCAGGAACTTTTTTGCAAGAAGGGATTAAAAAGGGCACATCAGAGTTGTGGGATGTGAAACACATAGCAGTCAAGTACAACATTCCTAGAGTGGGCATGCAGCAGGATGCCTTGTACCAGCCAAGAATCTAACTTCCTGTTTCCTGCTGGGCTGGGACAAAACTTCCTTTGCATGTGACTAGAGATGGGCGTGACCTTACCTGTGCAGTTAACAAAACCAAAAGGCACACAGCCCCCCTCCTCTTTTTGTTTCTCCTCTTCTCCATCTTGCTTTCAACGTGTGAGCAGAAATGACTGCCTGTCTGCAGTCACTTGGGACTGACTCCCTTATGGGATAGTTCCACAGGTATATATATACTTTAGTAGCCTAAGTTTGCCTTCAGGGATTCAACTATGAACTGAATGAATGTGAGTAAACTACTTTTATACTTTTAACATAAGATTGTCGTGTCTATTCTTTTTAAGGGGGACAAGAAGGGATCTTACCAGGAATTTTATATTGAGAGGCTCAAACGAGCCTGCAACAAGTTAACCACTGTGTATTAGAATGGGGGGTGCACTCTGCTAAGTAAAGGGACTTGCTAACACAAGTTAGGAAGGATATTATTTAACAATATATCCTCTCCTGCCTCCCTGAACGTTCCTACAAGAGTGACTTGCAATGTGGGATGGGGTGGGTTGGGGGTCAGTGTGTCATGAAGAAATAGTCAAAAATCACAAACACCAAGGAAATTGTGTACAATTGAAACGGAATGTTTTATTAAAACAACTTCAAAATCAAAGTGAGGTGTTGTTTTTTTTCCTTTTCATGTTACCTTAACAATGTATTTTATACAATACAGTCTTCAGCTCCTGGCATGAAGGGACTGGGAAAGAAAGGAGAGGCTGGAGGTGGAGACAGAGGGAAAGGAAGAGGTTTCTTGAGCTAACAGGCTGTGAATGTCTTCCAGAAGAAATAATTGCAACCGGCTTTGCGCTCTCTGGGTCCCAGAGCTGGGTTCAAGTTGGCCGATCTCTCCAGCTCCAGCCTCACCTCATCCTGCTCGCCTCCACGGGACAAATCGTCTGATTCCAGGGCCTCGTTGTCCGTCTGGCTTGGTTCTGAGAGCAATTCTGCCAGGAAATACTTGGCCAATTCCTTTGAGGAAGAGAGAGAGAGGGACTGAGCTCAGTATATATCTTCTATATGGCATGATTCCTTGCATCTCAGGGCAAATGTAGGTGCAAATGTCTGGCTCATACCAGATTTCACAGAACCTCTATTCTCAATAACGACGGGACTCAGAGGTAGAGAATACCTTGATTTTGTTTGTTTGTTTGTTATTGGTAAAGGGAATCTTCGCATGAGTCAATACTTGATTGCTCCTTTGCAGCTGGCACCATTACAGGTGCCACATTCATTCCGCATTTGTGAGAAATCAGTAGTTTACTGTGGCAGCACTACACTTTACAACTCCCTGCCTATTGACAGGTATCTGCACTGTACTTTTTTAACCACCTGCAAAAAACATTTTTGTCTGGACAAACCTACCCAGATATTTAGACAGCTAATGCATGTTTAAGTCAGTTTTTAGTTCATTTCATTGCCAGTTTTACCTTTTGAATATCTTAGAGTTGTTTTGACTGATTTGACCGATAATTTTATTGCTTTATTCTCTTTGTAAACTGCTTTGAGGTTTTATAAAATAAATGAATGCACTATATCTTTGTCCTTTTGTCCTCCCAGGCTCAGGTGCTTTATGGTTTACACTTTCGTTTGTCATTGGAGAAAATCTTATTAAATGAGTAAAATAAAATAACCTCTCGCCAAACACCCATTTGGGATATCTTCTGCTGTTCGTATTAACTCTTTATAGAACTGAGGAGTGGAACCTCTATGGACAGCGGCAGTCTACCTCTACATTAAGGGGAAGCAGGTCTAGGGTCTGATCCAGCAGCTGCTACTGCTTAGAAGTAGTGATAAGGAAAAGGGATTCTGCACCTGCTCAGAGACGCTCCGGTTTCCTTCTAGCTCTGCTCCCCACGCCCTTCTCTCCCTCCACCCTCCCTCGGACTCCTGGGTCCCTTACCTGTTTCCCCGCCGCTGCGGCCAGCGACTTCTGCAGGAATTGCCGGAGCCTCGGGTCCGAGGGGGCGGCGGCCACGGTACTCAGCGCCAGGGCGACCGAGACGAGCAGGGCGAGGGCGCACTGGAGGCGGCAGGTCAGCATGCTGGCGGAGTCTGAGAGAGCAGCTCTTTCCCGGGGAAAGCGAGCGGAGAAAGGAGGCGAAGAGCGCAGGAGAGCCCGGCGGGACGGGGCGAGACGGTGGAGTGGCGCTGCTGATGCTGCGACGTCTCCGCTCCTTGGGATCGCTGCTAAGCTCACGGGGGGAGATCGTGGCTTCTGGGATCTCTACCGACGCCCCCCTTTTATAATGCCTTTTGCTGACGTCAAGGAAGGGGTGTAACAACTCCCCCTCCCCGCAAAAAGGAGCCCGGCGCTTTTTGACGCCCCATTAAGCGCGCGGATCTGGTACCCCCCCAAGTGAGGGGGCTAAAAGAAGAGGAGGAGGAGGCATGGCGACGCTTGCTCCCACAGGACACGCAACACGCGCGCGCGCACACACACGCAACCCCAAATCTCTTCGCTGGCCGCAAAGATGCGCGCTCGCAAATCCGAAAGCACAGGGGAGATCTTTAGCCTGGAGGAGTGGGCGTTGGGTGGAGGGGAGGGTGAACAGCGGGGCGCTTGCGAATCCCTCCTTCCTTCCCAACGGGGAAGCTGCAAAGGGCAGGAGCTTGCTCCTTCCAGAGAGGGTGGAAGTGACAGACGTCGAGCCGGGAAACTGACGAGAGACCCGCTCATCAAAACCTCCAGGCGCGCTGCTTCGTTTTTCAGGCAGCCGAATGGAAGTCTGATCGGATTCATTCGGATCCGCTTCTCCGAATTTGCTCAGGACTGAAGCCTTGAGGCATCTAGGTGGAGATTTGGGGGCCAATCCGGAGGGAAGTTCTGCTGCGCACGATCCACTGAAACGAAGGTGGAGCCGCAGAATTTACCGCCGGATTGGGCCCTCTTCACCGGATAGATCCAATTTCCCTTGTAACCTCGGGCACAATCGACTTCTCTTTAACCCCGTGGGTACACGAGCCCTCTCTTAACTCCGGATTAACGCCTGTGGCCTGAGTGTGTGCCAGGCCGCCTTATTGCAATCATAGTCATAAGAACGTAAGAAGAACTTGCTGGATCAGGCCAGGGACCCATCTAGTCCAGCATCCTGTTCCCACAGTGGCCAACCAGATGCCTCTTGTGGGAAACAGAATCCGAGTACTAGAGCGATTCTCCCCTCCTGTGGCTTTGGTGCCTCTGACTGTGGAGGGAAGTGCAATCCTGGCTAGGAGCCATCCATAGTCCTATCCCCTCCTCCATGATTTTGTCTAATCCTCTTTTCAAGCCATCAAAGTTAATGGCCATCTCTGCCTCCTGCGGGAAGGAGTTCCACAGTTTAACTGCGCTGCATCCAGAAGGGTTTCCTTTTATCTGTCCTGAGACAACCCAATGGAAACCTTGTCGGCTTCATTCGGATCCACTTCTCTGAACTTGCTTAGGACTTGAGACTTGGGGAGTCTAGTTGGCGATTTGAGGCCCAATCCAGCGAGAAGTTCTGTTGCGCCCGATTCCCTGAAAGGAAGGGGAGCGCCCTCCGCGGGGCCACAGAATTTACCGCTGGATTGGGCCCCCTGCAGTATCCGCTTCTTTTCTAACTCCGCTTCCGCAGATTCACAAGATCACAGATTTGTTTTAACTCGGAACTATCTCCTATGGCGCGATTGTGTCCGTGGCTGCGCTCTTGCAATCGTAGCTGCAGGTTAGAACGCTTCCTGTCGCGTTTATTCCTCTTATTTTCTTTTATTTATTGCCTTTAAATCCCACCTTTTCCTCCAAGGAGCTCAAGGTGGCGCGCACGGTTTTCCCCCTCCTCGTTTAATCCCCTGAGAGGCAAGCGAGACTGAGAGGCTGTGACGGGCACCCGAAGTGAGCTTCGTGGCCGTGTGGGGATTTGAACCCGAGTCTCCGGGGTCCTAGTCCACACTCTGACCACTAGACCACACTGTTTCTCTAATGGGGTTCAGTGGGATGGACTCCCTGGGTCATGGTGCAGACAGGATGACAACTTCAGGCTGAGATCCTGAATATATTTCAGGATGCTCTCCTGAACAGTGAAACTAACTTCCGAGGAAGCATCCTCAGGATCGCCCCAAGAATCAATACGGATCGAGGGAATACGGTTTTCGCCTCTAGCCTTCTTCCAGGCGGATCGTATTTATTCGGTAGTTAAGTCCTGCGAAATTCAGGAAAACTTCCCGCTGCAAAATAAATGTGTCCAGAACTACGGCCTAAATACTTTGTCCAGTTCTGGGCACCACAATTTAAGGAGGCCATGGACAAGCCGGAAGGTGTGCAGAGAAGGGCGACCAAGATAATCAAGGGTCTGGAAACCAGGCCTGATGAGGAACGGTTGAAGGAGCTGGGTATGTTTAGCCTGGAAAAGAGGAGACCGAGAGGAGATATGAGAGCCAGATTCAAATATCTCAAGGGCTGTCACATGGAAGAGGGAACGAGCTTGTTTTCTTCTGCTCCGGAGGGTAGGACTAGAACTCATGGCTTCAAGTAACAAGAAAGGAGATTCTGACTAAACATAGGGGAAAAACGTTCTGACAGTAAGAGTTGTTTGACAGCAGAACAGTCTCCCACGGGAGATCGTGGATTCTCCTTCCTTGGAGATTTTTAAGCAGAAATTGGATGGTCATCTGTCAGGGAAGCTTCAGATGAGATTCCTGCCTTGCAGGGGGTTGGACTAGATGACCCTCGGGGTCCCTTCCACCTCTACAGTTCTAAGATTCTATGATTCTAATGTCAGGTTAGTAGTGTGGAATAGGGACATAGGAACCTGCTTTACATTGGCTCAGACCAAGTGTTGCCTACTCTGGCCGGCAGCAGCTCTCCAAGACTTGGGGGGGGCGGTGGTGGTATTCCCAGCTTTACACAGAGATGCAGCCAAGGATTTAGCCTGGGACCTTCTGCACGCCAAGCAGGTGTCCTGTCCACTAAGCTATGGCTTTAAAGGGGCGTGGAGGGGTGTAGCAGATATACACCCGAGTTTTCGTCCCTTTCACTCCGTCGACTAAACCGGAATAAGGGGCGCCCCTGCGTTCTCTGAAGCCGGCTGGAAAACTAAGCGCATTCAAGGCGCGCTGAGCGTGTGGAATCCCTGCTCTCAAAGAATATACTAGATTATACAAGACACTAGACCTCAAGGACACCCACGGGAGATGAATGTCGGGCGGATAAAAGGAAGTGTTCTCCATGCGGTGCATAATCAAACTACGGAACTCACTGCCACAGGAGGCTGGATGGCTTTAAAAGAGGATCAACTAAATTCATGGAGGAGGAGGAGAGGGCTATCGATGGCTACCAGCCATGATGGCTTTGCTATATTGTTATTCCCAAATATTGAGGCTGCAGTGCCAGAAGCCCACTTACGTGGGAGTGAGCCTTACCTCTAAGTAAACATGCCTCTGTGGTAGGGCTACATACCCAAGTTGCTTAGGGTCGCGTACCCTGCAGTCCCATATAAGCTTACTTGGAAGTTGGGAGAGGGGAGAATTACTCCGAGTAAAATGCAGCCATGGACACAGCAATACGTCAACTCACATAACTGGGACTTTAGTTGGATCGCGCCGATCGGTTATATAAAAAAGTAATCTCGTCGGAGCCCCCCCCCCCCCCGCTAATCGATCCTCTCCATCGATCCCTCTCTTTTCTTGAATCGATAAGGAACTGGCTAAGGGGCGGGGGTCGCGGATCAATTCACCTGTCTTCTCCAGAATATTAAAAGCCACCCCACTGTTCACAACTCCCTGCCTGTCCTTATAAAGTTTTGGCTTGCTGAGGCCCCGATCCACTGCAGTGCCCGTCCCTTATGCACGCTTACTCAGAAGAAAATTCCACACAGCTCAGTCTTCAACCGTCCTACTCTCTAAGTACGTAAGCAACAGATGGAAAGCTCTTCAATCTGAGCAGGCTGAAAGCAAAGAGGAAGGTTACCGTATCTTCCGCCATAGAGCTTCAGATGACAACGTAGTGTGCGCACGCTCAGAGGATTACCTCCAAACCATCCTAAATATCTTTGCAGAAGCTTACGAAAAGCTTGGCCTATCACTCAACATCCAAAAAACCAAAGTGCTGCACCAACTAGTACAAAATAACCCCTCTGCAGCGCCACAAATCCAACTCAATGGTGTAACGTTGGAAAATGTCGATCACTTCTCCTACCTAGGCAGTTATCTTTCCACAAGGGCCAACACTGATGCCGAAATCCAGCATCGCCTGAGCTCTGGGAGTACGGCTTTCTCCCGATTGAAGTGCAGAGTGTTTGAGGACCCGGACATTCGCAGGGAAACCAAAATGCTTGTTTACAAAGCTATTGTACTTCCAACCTTACTGTATGCCTGTGAAACATGGATCACTTATAAACGCCATCTCCAACTCCTGGAAAGATTCCATCAACGGTGCCTCTGATAAATTTTACACACCACTTGGGAAGACAGGTGAACTAATATTAGTGTACTGGAAGAAGCAAAGATCACCAGTGTTGAAGCAATGATTCTTCAACATCAGTTTCGTTGGACTGGTCATGTTGTGCCTGATCATCGTCTTCCAAAGCAACTACTCTATTCCGAACATAAACATGGAAAGCGTAATGCTGGTGGTCAACAAAAGAGGTTTAAAGACTGTCTCAAGGCAAATCTTTAAAAATGTAGTATAAACACCGACAACTGGGAAACACTTGCCTGCGAGTGCTCCAGTTGGAGAACAGCCTTTACCAAAGGTGCCATGGGCTTTGAAGATGCTTGAGCTCAGGATAAAAGGGAGAAACGTGCTAAAAGGAAGGCACGCTTGGCAAATCCACAGCGTGATCAACTCTCGCCCAGAAACCCACCACGGAAGGACGTGTGGATCCAGAATTGGCCTCCACAGTCACTTACGGACTCATTGTTAAAACCGTGTTTGTGGAAGACAATCTTACTCGGCTACGAGGGATCGCCAAAGAAAGAAGAAGCAATCTGAGCATTTCCAGCCTCCGTCCGCCAGGTGGCCATTCGAAGGGGATTACTCTGGAGAAAACAGATGGATCGTTTCAGCAAGAGGAAACTTAAAACTGGAAA